ACATGTAAGACCTAGAAACATACCAAAGGGTTATTAACCATACAATTTGCTTTCATTGCTGTATTGGCAGGGCCTAATAGCGAATATTGAAAGCATGATAGAAGACGCCTCTATTCTGTTAATGTTCACTTACAGGGGTGTTTCTAGGATGTATGAGCAATTTTGGCGTTTTTTACTGGTATAATTTTTCAAACTGTATTACTTGTAATATTAATTTCTTTTAAACGTGAGGGTTTGAACATACCCACTTTGTATGTTTTCTTAAAGAGTAATGACAGCCCCCATCCCCCTCAAAATACCCAGTACAGGCCATGAAACCATGATTGTAAGATCCTGAGAAAACCTCAGCTGGCCTGAGGTGAAAGGGGGACTGTGATCACATATAAGCCTGTGAACCCAGACAAATCTTTTCTAACCTGGGAACTTCTACACTGATTCCAATCCAGGGCAATTTATTCATGGGCAAGCAGCTGGATACAGCTGCTCTGAGACAGTTGCATGCAGGTTTTTGCCTCACTTCCAGGCTTGAGGCAGCTCTACTCATGTAGCCATGGCCTTAGTAGCATAGTAACACAGGAGAAATAAGCTGCAGTGGATAACTCCAAACCCTGATTCAGGAGCACATTTGGGCATTTTACTTTATGGATTAGGTATTTTTCTTCTGCTACAGAGGCAACATGCTTGGTTCTAGCTAGAGGGTGGTGACTGCTTTAAGACAATGGTATCATGCCATTTATAAAACTTCACTGGCTTAATTCTTAGCAGAGGTGGCTCACTGTCTTTTGGACTTGCATCAACAGCAACCTACATTAACTGAGAGTTCTGTTGCCACAAGTAGGAAGGCATGAAGGAACAACCTTACTGTCTTTACTACCCTTTAATTAGTAAGCACTGCAGCAGAGATCCAATATTTGATGTCAGAGTACAGGGTGTAAATGAGGGGAAAAAAGTGGTATTGATCACAGTACATTGCTTTATGTCATCCATCTAATAGTTGAATTCCTGTTGGTCTGATTTTTTTTAAGCTACTAATTGCTTTTCACGCCCTCCACCTGGAACTGAAGAAATCGCTCTTACCTGCTGGCGAAAATTCTCACACCTTGCAGGGGACCACTTTACTCTTATCAATGTCTTCAAGGCCTACAAAGAAACCATTGCAAATTCCACGAGCCAGTGTAAGTTATACAAACCACACTGCAAATTTTACTGCTAAAGCTGGCTTATACTATTTCCTGTTGCTGTTACCGAAGTCAGTATAATGCACAGGAAAAAAATGTAACGTGTTAACCTACAATAGAGAAAAACAATTTCTTGTAAACTGTGTGGGTATGCATGAACGGGTGCATTTAATGCAGGACAAACTGCCCCAACTTGAGGCACAATTCTAATATTATTTGCACTGCCACATCTCTTTGTGCTACATGGTGTACAAACAGCAAAAACTGCCCCCATGTAAACGATCTCATAGAGTTCTCAGGTGTATGGCACATATAAACAGGATGGAGAAGCAAAGGAAGAAGTGACAATATTGATACTACTGATAGGCAGTTGTATCAATGCACAAGTAGCCCAACTTTTATCAGATTTTTTGAAGGTATCATAGCTTAGGATAGCTTTAAGGAGTTATTTGAAGGAAGATGATGTAACTGTGGAGACTTAGAGGCCTCTATGGAAGGCAGCTTACAAGAAAAGGTGCTTGTTTGAAAATGTAGCAAGTAGCTGATAGCTCTGCCATCATTGGCTGATCCACAGCAGAAGTTGACATTTTGATAATGAATGAGCAGTCATAAGTGAATTAGGAATAGGCTGTGAAAGTAAAGACATGCACCTTCTGCTTGATGCAATAGAGAAGACAGTGAAAGGACTAGAGAGAGAGACAATAAGGGCAAAACAATGGGCAAAGATAATAATTTTGCAACAATATTTTCAGAGGCTAATTTTGCAGCAGTATTTTTGGATGATAGATTACCACTGTGGCCAGTGGTAATCTGTATTTCCATAAGAGTTTATTCCATCATCTCAAATCAGTCCCTAGAGGAGTTATGCATCTGCTACAAAGATGAGCTGTTTACCCATTTTAAAGTTCCTGGTGCCAGAGAAGTAAATAGTCAATCTTTGTCCTCATCATAGACATTTTTTGATATCCTATACCCCAGGCCATGGAGCTTCATGAAGATAAGAAACAAAACTTTGGCTTGACTCAAAATTCCATGGAAAACCAGTGTAGACAAAATCAACGGCAAGTTTTGATGTCTAGCCTGTGTTACAGAAGAGACATGCAACACTCTGTACTAGTATGAGTTTCCTGAATAATGAAGGCTTCATGCCCAGGTATATTCACCAGCATAATAATGAACAACAGAGGTCAGGCCATTACCCATTAGGATGGGACGGCATCTCCCAGGCAGCCAGAGGTAGCAGAAAGTGTTATAGATGTAACTACACGAGTGCTTAATGTTGGCAAGAAATCCAAAAGTACCCTTGAATTATGCACTGAATTGTCCAATTGTGCATGTGTGCTATTAAGGAGAAGGACTGTGTTTCAGGCGGTAACCCAAAGAATGCTTTCTACTCAACCAGAAGCAGGTCCAGCCTCAGCCTGCTAATTTTCATCTATGAGCTGAACTCATCCAAGCACTAGGCAATCTAGTGTGTGACCACATCTAATAAGATAGCTAGAGTTGTATGGCACCTACCTGTTGCTGGCACTTGAGTCCATGTCAGCTGACTGGTTCATTTAGTATGGTAGCAGATGTTGAAAATGACCAAGGAGAAAACCATTTCCTTTGGGGACTATCATTAATCAGTGGAACTCTCTCTCCAGGAAGGATTCAGACTGTTTTAGTAGATTTGCTTGGGTCACTGCCACCTCCTTCAGACAGGACAGCAATATCTCCTAGTCAGCTGTGCCGAGTGCTAGAGGTCCAGGAGGATAAGAATGGATGGTTGCACTTTATCCATTAACAGGAGAAGATCAGTGCTACAGCAATAGTTTCAGTTCCTGGTCTGGATTCATATCTTGCCAGATCTAGAATTTTTGTTATAATTACAATTACAATATATTGTAATTTTTTCTTCTCCCTTAGACTATGATGTTGAGAAGTGGTGTCGTGATTATTTCCTGAACTGTTCAGCACTGAGGATGGCAGAAGTTATCAGAGCTGAATTAGCAGACATTATAAAGTGCATAGAACTTCCCATTTCAAAACCTGACTTTGGATCAAAAGAAAATATATTAAACGTAAAGAAAGCTCTTTTATCTGGATACTTTATGCAAGTAAGGGAAATATTCTGATTTTATCTTAGTCCTAGTGATATGAATACAAGATAGCATAGTACTTAAATAAATGGCTTTTAGAAAACCTGATACCAACTTAGGGAATAGTATTCCCCCAATTCCTATAAAATAAAACTGGTATACTTTTCTTCCACTGATTCAGATATTTATTATTTGTACCACATACTTCGTTTTCAAAGTGTCAGCCAAGTCCACTTTTGGGAGGAAGCTGTTCTTGATTAATATATGGGTTTTGTTCTTTTATCAGCCAACCATACCAGAAACATTTGAAAGCCATTCATTTATTAGGCTGTGATAAACACTCCTGTCTAGTCTAGCCCCTTCCTGGTATTCACTGGCCACAACAACTCACTAGAAAAGGGAAGCTCTGTCCACACACTCTTGAGGGTGTCTTGAGGAGGGAGTGCAGTCTTCAGAGACTCTTCACTGCTCAGCACTTCTCATTAGGAGCTACAATACTGTTTTGTTTTTGAGATAACATTAATTATACTTTCTGTCCTCACAAATCATTTATTAAAAAAGCAGTTTGTTGAACAGTTCTAGATGTACAATTTTCCTAATCTAAGCTACATGAGCCATTCTTAGCGTAACTGCAGAGATAAACAAGAAAGATGAATGGTTCACATCTCCTGTGAAAGCAATCCTTCCTCTCTGACTACTCTGGTCTATTCATCAGAATAGCATTTGGTAACAAGAGAGGACTCCAGCACTCCCTGTTTAGCTAGGTCAGCAGTTCTCAACCTTTTTAGACTGAAGGCATCTCTCAGAAAATGCCAACTCTTAGTTTTCACTCATTTTTGACTATGTAAAAAATAACAGAACAATTCTTCTGCTGCAAAGAATTCTGAACTATTGTAGCCTTTCTGAATATTTTTGATATAATGGATTCCTATTTGAAATCTCTTAATTTATCTTGCAAATCATGTGTAGGTCTTTGCACTCCTAACAGTACCAATATCCTTAAAAGGATCTCATGGCACCCTGGATAGGCCAACACCTCCAAACACACAACAGGCACTCCACTTCCCAAAACAGGTTACTCCACCTACCCACATATTTTTCTCAGGGCTTTATTCTTTAAGAGATGGACTTTTGAGGATGCAAAAACCTTTTAATTATTGATCTTTAAAGACATAACAACCAAGCTTAACAACTAACCAATGTTTCACGGGCTGGTCTGCCCAGTTCTGCCCCAGTTTCTGTATCGGCCTTTCAATTATAAAGATTGGCATTTTCCCCAATAGCTAATTCTCTTTCTCCATGTCAATTCCCTGCCCACCTCACCATGAACAAGCACATTCAATTTGCATGCTTATATACTATGAATTAGGGACAGGGGTCATGGCTCTCTCTCAGAAAATTGTTGCATACAAATGTAAATATTGGCTTTTAACATACTGCAAAGAAGCAGAAGCTGGCCTAAACAGCTTGGATACACAGTGAAACAATGGATTACTCTTTTATATTTTAGACTGCTCGTGATGTAGATGGCTCGGGAAACTACTTAATGTTAACACACAGGCAAATAGCTCAGCTTCATCCCTTCTCAGCATATTACAACACCAGGCGGATTCCTGAGTGGGTTCTATTCCATGAATTTTGTATATCAGAAAACAATTGTATAAGAATCGTCTCCGAGATATCACCTGATCTGTAAGTTAAGGATTGTGGGGCTATTTCCTATGAAAAGTATAATTTAAGGTGTAAACAATGTAGCATGCTACACATCCTTACTATGCATTCAACCAAAACTAGTTTCTGGTCTCTCCCAACCAAGAACACATTTCTCCACAACCAGTTCATTAGCAATGGGGAATATGCAGTGAGAAAGCTGAAAGGAGCTGCCTGGAGAACAAGCCAGCTCCTGATCTCTCCTTCAGGAGGGACCTGAAGGAAGACCTTATGGTTCTGGTGAGGGAGAGAGTCCCATGCATAACTAATTCACCCCTTAATCATGTGAAACAGTGGAAAGACTGTCATAAGAGAAAACAAGTCGTGTATGTAGGGAACACAGTGAGACAAGGCTAACTTTGCTAGTGTGGAATGGAAGTGTTATTTCCATACATATTTCATAACCCAACTAGCTCCAGAACTACTTTGTGAATGTATATTCATCTATGGTCTCATTTTTGCATGAACAATACTAACCAAATTAGAGTTTAAAATTATACAAAAGGGAAGTATTCCATATAAGATTCCAACATTTTAAGTGTTTGATTAAAAAAAAATTAAAAACGCCAGAGGAAATTAGCCAGTATTTCCTAAGCTATAGTGCACCTGCTTGTATATTCAATGCATCTCAGAATCTGTTGCAATTGTACTTGATTCAACCATTTAAACAAGTGTGCTTAAATAACTGAACATGCATTTCTCAAAATAGAAAATATATTTAGTACTAAAGAACAAGAAGCCAAAGAAGCACCATTTTTCTGTTAAAGTAACCCGACTGAAAAAGTGTTTTTCCCCTGCCAAAGTGGCACTTTTTAGCAAACGCTTTTTTTGAATGTTATATATGCCTACCCAGTCATTTCTTCCCTATAAACAGCTCTCCTTGTACTGACATCTGCTCTGTACTCTGCAAACACATTGCACCAGGAAATCTTTCTTTACTGCTCTATCCAGTGGTTTTGAAGAATACCGTCCTCTCGGGTTTTTGTTGAACATACTTGCACTCACATTTAGAAAACCTCTGTAATTAATATTTAATGTCATTTTAGCATTGGGAACTGAACCACAGTCATTACCTGTGCAGACTGGGCATATTAATTTGAAAGTCTGCTTACAGCATAAACGTGCATATTGGGGACTTCTTAATGAAATTTAAATACCAACTGAAACTTATCAACGTGTTCTTGGCTTCAAGCATTTTTGGTACAACCCTGAAAAATTTAAAAAAAAGTTGAGATTTCCAATTTTATGCAAGACATATTTTGTTCCATTTCTCATCAGATTTGTGGAGCTGGCACCTCAATATTATTTTAGCAATCTGCCTCCTAGTGAAAGTAAGGATATTCTGCAGGAAGTCATAAATCATTTATCACCTGTTTCAAGAATAAAGGAGGAACAGAAAACAAATGGCGAAGACAAAGAATATGAAAAATATCCACAAACTCCTGCTGAACAAAGGTGCATTATTCAATGACTTTGATATCCAACTACATTCAAGCAAGCAGTATGTGCAATGTATGCTTGACAGTTAATCTATGTAATGGTTTCTCAACTTGAAATGTACAAGTATTTAACAGGATAGAGAAAAATTTATACTGAAAAAATCCTAACACTTATAGTTTTGTATGCTGTTTGATAATATGTAATAAACACTCACTGGATTTGGTTAATAACATTGAGCAATTCTTTTAAGAAGTTTACAAATGTAGGGCTTTTTTATTGCATGCTTCATCATGACAAAGTCCATTAGGACATGGAATTTTAAAATATCAAATTAAAATATATAAAGTAAGTGAGGAATACAAAACTGTTGACATCAAAGAACTTTTCTGAAGCTATTCAAAAATCTTATAATTTTGTATACTTGCTATTAAAAATATTGTTCATAGGAAATGGTTTAAACTGAGAGATATTCTTTGAGTTTATCCATGATTGCGTTCATCCTATCAGCTGGAATTAATATAACAGTCCTCAAAGGTTTCATTGGCACATCATCAAAAGACCATCTGCCTCCCAAACACGTGTCGCTCTCTTCTTGCACAGAATAGCTGAACTTCAGATGAGCTTTCTAAACAACAGAAATACATTAAATATGATTACAGTTAGCTTGAAAATTACTATTCATACCATCTGAAGTGAAATAAAAAGAAGATATCTTTCTACATATGCAGGACAAGTAGAAATTAATCAATGTAACTAAAAATAGAGAATTCTATAGTTTCTCTGTCAGTGGGCATTGATTTCACATCACAAATTCTAAACAACTCCTATTCATTGTGTAATGCACATTGTCAGTAAGATATGTGGACAAATCAAAGCAAGGAAAAAGAAGGTGTTACTCCTAGTAGTGACTAACTGTGTGTGGTCCTGAAAAAGTTCAATATTACATAAAACCAGCTTATTCCCAGGTGTTGCAACCAAAGTTTATGGTCAGCCTGTCAGTAGGCATTATGACGGAAGTGGGACTTTCCCTCCGGTGATAGATGCATCAAGTGAAAGCCTTTGCCAAAAATATTACTCCTTTGCAATAATAAACAAATAACTGTTTCTTAACAGTGGGCAAAAAAACTACCAGACAATGGTAGTTCTTCAGCAGAAGAGGTGAATCACAGCAAGGACTAAAAGCCTGGATAAAGGTAATTTACATAGAGCTCAGAGGCATTGTGGGGAAGCTGGACCAGAAAAGTACGGGTGTCAGCTTGACACAGGTAATGGAAGGAGTTTGCAGACAGGCTGTGACATGGCATGCATCTCTCCACTCACAGTCTAAAGTATTATTTGGGGAAAGTACATGCAGCTTTGGAGATCCAAAGATTAAAGTGTCCCAGCTTTCCCATCTGCAAAATGAAGTGTGTAGCAATTTCCTTTTTCAGGGTGGCATTAGGAACCTTAAGGTGATAGGCCTTAGACACAATTTTCAAAATGTCCTGGGAAATCTTCAGATGACATATGTCACTGAAAATGTTAAGGGCATTTTTCAAATAAATTATTTTTATGAAGTTTATTATTTATATTTATCTTTTCAGTTACTATGTAGTATAGATACAGAGATACAGATATAATCACAGTGATTGATTATATATATAAAAATCACATGGTGGTCTCCTTTTACAACCCTCAGAGATACAGCATTTGAAAATGTTAGTGAGCAAACGCACTCTAAAAAAAGAAAAAAAAAAAAACACACATCAATGAAGTAGAGAAGCAATATCTGAAACTTATGGGGAAAAAAAATAATCTAGGGTCCTACATTTGCTGGCAAAGGTGAGTTCTATTCTTTCCATATATTTGCTATATACTGATGATAGCTCAATCCTATAAATTCAACTTTGGAACAACCATAAAATTAATACACTTTAATATAGTGGCAGTCTTCAAGAACAAGGGAAAATTAAATCTCCTTTTAACTGTAATTGTTTCTCAGGTTTGGCGTACTAAAAGCTTTTCTTCCACTCTCTCAATTACATTTTAAGGACCAAAAACATAGCACAATGAACTGATGAGTGGAGACTGGGGTTTTTTTCCTATTTACTCTGTTCCAAGTATCTGGCTCACTGCACTCAGCACGATTTTATAGCAATCTAATGAATGTTCTGTGTGATCAGAGAAGGACGCACTCAAAAAAAATTTAATTTTTTACATATACATTGTTAAAATATAAAATTTACATAACACAACATCCTTGATTTGTTTCAAATGACGTTTTATAACAAATACTAGAAAGGCTGGTTAGCAAGAATTTGGTGTCACCAGGTTCAGACCATAAAAACCAAGTTCAAAATGATAACTTGGATTAAAAATAAAGAGTCCTTAACAATGAATTTAGAATAACAAAACAGCTTTCTAGAATGAAGGACACTTGAAGCCTCCAACTAGAAAACATAACCTCCTTGGTGGCACATGTTTTTTGGTCCCAGGGTCAGGAATACATTCCAATCTAGGTGCTAGAACTCCTGCTACAAAAAAAACCACCAGAAAAAAAACTTGAAAGGAAAAATCCCTAACTTGCATCAAATTTGTAAGAAACTGCAGGCATGTTTCCTGTAACTCAGAATAAATGTTCCCACTTCAATGTCTCCTCTTCTTAGAAAACATGGCTGTGATTCTAATAATGGCTATTTCACAGTGTACATTCAAGAGGCACATCATCAATATCTGCATGGGTGAACCCTTGCCCCAGCCACATTTCACTTGGTTTATTCAGTTACCAGAGAGGAAAAATAAGGATCTAAACACAGTAATAATGCTACAGAATCATGTTTTTAAAACTTGGAAAAGGTAAAGAACACTGAAAAACTCCATGCATTTCAAATGACATTTTTAATTTGATTTTCCTGCACCCTTCCCTCCTTTCAGTTTGGCATGGGACCAGCAGAATTGTTCCTGGTTCCCTCAGGACATAAATAATTTTTACATCCGTATTTCATTGCTTGTTAATAGTGTGCTTGTCTCAAATATGGTATAAATAACCAAGGGGATAGTGACATCCATTTGGTTGGATCTTCAGAGAATTTGTTCTGAAGAGGTGTTTTGTTTTGTTTTTTTTAAAAAAGGTACAAAAAGGTTAAATGGAGAGTAGGGAGAGGAACACAACACCAAAAGCATAAGAGATTCACAGCTCTGAATTTGCCAAGTTTCTGGGGAAGAGGAATTCTCAGAGCATAAATCTGATAGCATTAGAGAATTTTCAATAAAGCCTTAGTGGCGGTTTTTGTGAAGCTCTTTCTGTGATTGGGGGACGAAAATATTACATGAACAATGCACATGCGCCGAATCATTTCTCTTCCAAACAGTTATACATCTGATTAAGCAAATACAATATAAGACTACAGTAATGGTACAATTTTTTCTAAATTGTAAAGTGTTTTCCTACCATGAAAATTGAATTGTTGTGCCATCTTATTAAACTCTCGACTCATGCTCTCTTTTTCTTAAGGAAAAAAAAAGACAATGGAGATTTCATTCAAAGATCTCAACAACTGTGAAAGATGTTTCACTCTGTTCAGACCTCACAGCATGGATGATGATTTGTCACTGAGTCACACTGAACGCAACAGCTGATCTTTCACTTGAATCTTTGTCTATACCAGGCCTTTTTAGACATCCCCCATCTCCCACTGAATTACCACTTGTATAAATTGGAAAGTGGTAGAATTACTGTGTAGATAAAGCCTAGGCACCAGTGCTTTTATAATTATCAGGTCTTGTTATAAGTAATACATCAGTAAATTAGTACAAAAAGAGCAAGTGCCATTTTATAATCTGTATCTACAATAGTGCAGGTCTCAATGGCTACCTCAAGGCAAAAAAAGTTTATCTTAGCCAAGTGTTAAGCATGTTCATATCCTTTATTAGCAAAAATAACTTGCTTGTCCATCTTGCAATAAAACTGTATAAAAAGAAACTTTATTTTAAAAACATCATTTTGTAGCCTTTTAGTAATACTGCATGAGTCAGGTTTCCCAAGTGGCTCAGTAAAAGAGGCATGGTCACTACTAAGAAACACACTAAATCAGAACCTCAATTTCTGCTGTAAAAAAAAAAAAAAAGCCAGATATTTCAATTTAATGGCATTAAGAGTCTTTTACCTCATAGAAAAATTCTTCCTCTGCATTTGCAAACATTAATTCCTCTTTTCGCTGCGTGTTCCCTCTCCTTTTAGAATTGCTTTTGGTTGCCTCTGTAAAGGTCTTGCTGATCAGAAGGTAGTAGTAACACTTTCCACAAGGCTTATTTGTTTTCTGCATTTCAGCTAATTCTTTCCTAAAAAAAATGTATATTTACATAGTTAAAATTTTAAACTTCCATGAGATGCATAAAGAAATTGTGTAATGTAATTACTATTAACTGCAGAATATTCACATTTTGCTCAGTTTTCATGCAGGTCACACAAACAACAAACAGTATCCTGCATTTATTGCAGTAATGTTGTTTAAAATGTACTGCCACAGTTAACTACATTTAAAATTATCAACAGCAAAACTGAACTCCAGCTCCTCACAAGGCACTTCGTATCACAGAGCCCTCACTGAGCCTACACTGTATACTTGGGACTTAGCACACAATTAAACATACCCATTAACTACCATTCAGAGTAATGGTTTCCTCTGCATCCAGAGACTAGTTCAGTTCAATGATCTTCAGGTCATTAAGTTTTATTTATTTATTTTAAAAATATTGTTCCTTCCCAGAAACCCTGTCATGGCAAACTGCCTGACAAAGATGACTGGAGACAGTTCCCTCTGGAGGTAGTTAACACTGTCTCTCTTCCTTCCATCAGAGACTGCTGCTAAAGAACCACATGAAATGGTCTCACCTCTTCCTTGTATTGAATATATTGCCAATGAAATTCTTGGTGGGAGAAAAGGGAAGTACAAAGTGGGCCAAACAGTTTTCCAGGGGAAAAATGAGGCTCTTAAGACTTCACACCTAAGATTTCAATATTAAAGTCCCATACAAATTCAGATTATTTCCTTAACAGCTTTGCTTACTTTTCTCCCACTTCATTCAACAAGATTCTGTGTCCTTAACATTGGACCCTGCTTGGAGACTAAACAATAAGGTAACCTTTTCCAGTCCACTTATTGTAAATGGTTCAGGCAGAGTTCATACCCATAACAAATTTATTGCTGAAGCCCAAAGTACCATTCCAGGACAATCAGTGCATCTACATTACACAAAAAATACTGCAGGGAGCCTATCATTATGTTATAAAAATTGTATCATTGTAATAAATATTCTCCCACTCTAGTTTTCAAAACAAAGATCAACTGCAATGAACACACTGATGCTGCTCTACTAGTATACTGCATAACTTTAAGTGATGATTTATTTCTTCAAGAAAATAATTATTAGAAGTATTAATAAATGTGGAAATAAACATTTTAAAAAACCCACCAAAGACCTTCCGCCCCCCCCCCTTTTTTTTAAATCTATTTCTTACTTAAATCTGCAGTATCATTCCCTTTCCTTCAACACATTTCCATTTAAATAAGATTTCTGAAGACATACAAGGAAAAAAAAATTACTATTCCAAATCATTTCAGAAAGACTCTTACTGAAGCTGCTGGTGCATGGGCAGAGCAATCTGTGGTGGTACATTAATGAATCTTTCACTTAGCAGGAAGCCCACAGGCTTAGTGGTGTCATTTAGGAGCTTATCCAGCTGTTCAACCATACTCTGTTCACAGTTCTTCTCACACCGACTTAGAATCAGCTCTTTAATTTGTTCAGCACACTGCGTACCCTAGGATCAAATGGTATATTTTCTTATGTAAATAATTGTTCTGTAACATAAAGAACACTTGAAAGTGAATATTGAGAGTATTCAACAGGCCTGTGGGCATTTTCCTTCAGTGGTCTCTGAAGTACTGAAGAATTTCTCTGAAAGTTGTTTGCCAGCCCTGAAGCTGAGGGCAGACCACAGTCATTAAAGGACAGTGCATCGGCAAGTTACCACTCAGCCTAACAGCCGCAAAGAAGGGAAACTACTGCGAAAGCTAAGACATGGCACCTGAAAGCATGGGTGGCCCACTTGTCTGGGTGCTAGCCAAGGAGCAGAGAATGAAATTCAAGCCTTACCAACTTCCCGTGCAACCTCGAGTCCTGAGGCATTGCAATGCTCAACACTGCAACACCTAACTTCAGACGCATGGCTCCAAAAATGGAGCCTGAAACATTCTACTGAACATAGCTATAGTATTGTCTTCATAAAACAATGTTGGGGGCAACTTTATTTCTTTTATAACACAGCTGCTGAGGACAGTCAAGCAGTTAGCCCTCTAGGACAGAATACTGGAAAGCCAGGTTTAATTCCCACTTCTGCCTGTGGGGATTCAAGCACACATCTCTCTGGAGAGTGCTCTAATCACTCAGCAAGAAATTATTCTGGGGTGGAGGTACCGAATCATAGAAAAATAGGGCTGAAAGGGACCATAAGAGGCCATCTAGCCCAACCACTATATATCCTATAGGAATGGATGTCTAACTTGCTGGTGCTCAACTTTTCAGCCCCACTAGCCAGATGGCCTACATGGGGCCTGTCTGAGGGCCAGACTGTGCCTTGGGGCCTGGTACCACTCCTCCCTGCCCTGCACACCAGAATTAGTCCTAGGGGTCTGGCACAGCCCCCTCCATCCCAGGATTGGATCCTACAGGCCTGGAACTGCCTCCTCCAATCCTGTGTGCCAGAGTTGGGTCCTGAAGGCCGGTGCTGCCCCTCCCACCCTGTTCATACTGATATCAGGTCCCTGGGGGACCAGCACCACCGCCTTCTGCCTCCATCATGTCAGGATTGAGTCACTGGGGGCTGGCACCATCCCTTCTTGCCTCCCTTGCACCAGGATTGGTTCCAGGGGCCTGGTATTGTCCCCATCCCTGCCCAGCCCTACGTGCTGAGATCAGGAGCCAGTTCCAGCATGTATGTCCCAGTGCTTCCCATGGGATATGGCAGCAAGGGTGCAGTACTACTGCTCCCTGCCGCCAAATTTCTAGACCCATGGGGCGCCCTGCAGGCTGGATGACAAGGGGCTGCAAGCCAGAGGTTGAGCACCCCTGGTCGAGTCTATTCTTAAAATTACATGCACACAACCCTGCTGCACAGCTACCAGGAACGTTGCCCAGAAACACCAAGAACACCCAACCCTGTCAGAAGGAGGTGGAGGGGTGTATGTGACTGTCCAGTTCCTGCTGTTGTAAGGACAGAAAATGGTTATTAAAATTCACTCAAGGGTACACAGAGCAAGGCAAAAATCCCCATTGTCCACACAGATCTGATCTGAGGAAATTTTTTTCCTGAAGTACTTGACACCTTTCCTGCTAAAGCTATGCAAAAAAGAATTCAGTGTTCAGAGCCACAAAGAGGGAGCATTATTCTGTAAACTAAGGCAAGGCAACTAGGTACCTGGATTCTAGCCCCTGCTCCAAGGATTGCTTAGGTACTTTGCAAAAACAGTACTTGAATATGCAGAAACTGTCCTTGGTGCAGAGACTGGGATTCTGGACTCCCTCCCTTCTCAGGTGTGTATTGGGAGGGACAACAGCTAGTCAGCCTGGGCATTTTATACACATACATTTGTCTGCTCTGATACATCCGAACAGACTCGATTAATTGAGTCTGCTCCACACACAAGCTAATGTGCCCAGCGCTGTGTCGTATTCATTTGTATAAACAACAAAATGCATGTCAGCGCTGAGAGAATGGTGGCAGTACCCTTTTAAAACATCTATGATGTGTTTTAGTTCAAAAGCATGCTGCCGCCATTTTCTCAGTACTGACGTGCACCCGGCACTGCGGCGCAAGCCTGTGTACAAATGCCCCCTAATGTCTCTAATGGAATGGTACTTTCAGTAAAACAGGAAAAACAAAGCAGTCTTATACATTACCAACCAGAAGTTTACCAATAATACTGACCTTCCTTTCAGTTAAGTTTAAGAGGCTTATAAAGCCGAAGACCTCATCTTCATCACCATCATCATCATCGTCACTGTCATCTTGAACTTCAGTTTGCTATTTAACAAAAGAAAAAAGGAACAACTCATGCTTATCTGCACTTCTGAAATGCAGCCATTATTCCCCAATCAGAAGAGTCAAAATACATTGTGATGATTAGGTTCATGGAGCCCCACCAGATGACCCCTAACACTCCCTCCTGGGTCTGATCAGACCTACATGAGGCATGGCATATGCCAGACCAGCTCCGCAGGCAGGACCAAGGATGTGACCACATGTGGTATCTGCCCTGACTGGTCCAGAACTGCACTGCATGAGTAGGCATATGCAGTGTGGATCCAGAGTGGCCAGAACAAGCACTGCGTGTGGTCCAGCGCAGAAAAGGGCACATAGCTCAGATCCCATATCAGTCAGAGTAGATGCTGCATTACATGCAAGGCCCGCCCTGGCAAGACTGCACCATGTGCAGCATGAACTCTGGGAAACACTGCATATGGGGGCCATCCCAGCAGCTCTGGGACTACACTGCACGTGGTGTCTGCTCCAGCCAGTCTGGGACCAGCACTACACACAGTACTGCATGCAGTGCAGGTACCGAACTGGCTGATGTGGGTGCCATGTAGGGCATGGTTCACAGAGTGGGAGCCAAGTGTGATGCAGTCTGGCCTGGAAGGCACTGTGTGCAGCCCAACACCCACTCCAGACTGTCTGGGATCCATAACACATACAGCATGGGTTCCAGATTGACTGGAGTGGGTGCTGGATCCAGTATGCTGGGAAAGGAGGGGGATCCATGGGTTGGATCCAGCCTGAGGACCAGCCCTGCACCACTCATCCAGCCACGGCACTGGATGAGTCCAACACTCCTGATTTAGGGAATCTACACACATACAATTTATGAAGTCTGGCTTATGTTATAAAATCCCTGTATCACTAAATACTTCTGAGTTCTGAGAATGTACTATTTATCATCAGAACTATGTCATGTGTCTTCTACAGCAAGGACATTTGAAGGTCATTACATTTTGATAGCTCCCATTTAAATAGGGATAACAACAGGTTGACCACAGGCTGGATTATACCAGCTTTCTCCAGCTTCCTTCCAGAGACCTCTAAACCAGAGAACAAACACACTTGACATTAATCCTAGGTCTTAAAATCAAAAGAGCCAAAGAGACTTCATGGGAGTGGGAAAGGGGTAGAAATAACCCAGCAGGACTCAGAAGCAAGAAACTTGGGTATGGGAGAGGAAGTATTTTTTTTTTGCTTGCTTGTAATTATTTTCTTCCAAATGGAGGACCAGCTAGAAATTATAGTTGTGCTTAGATTTGAGCCGATTTTAAATTTTGGGGAATCAAAATAAAAATATGTAGTTTAAATTAAAATTCCCTCTTCTGCATATCTTACCCAATACTATTTCCAAACTTGTCCATAACTAAAACAGAACTGAAGCTGTCTTCAATATCTTTAAAAAACCAACAACCCCTCCCACACAAACCTCCAAGACTCCCCACTTGGTTGAAACCAGCCATGAACCATGTAAAGTTTCAGCCCCATGCAAGAAAAAATTCACAAAGCTATAAGGAAAAGAAAAACTGGAGTGTGTAGCAGGAGATTATAAATAATGTTCAATACAGGATTTTTTACTATAAGTGTTATACTACCATCACAGGTTTTCCTTTAGTTACACACACACACACAAACACACACTAAGCATGGTTAGGCTGCAGATTGGAATAGTATTGATGTTAAGTAACACTAGATAGAAGGAACACAAGATTGAACCTTTATCATATTAAGACCTGCATTCACACCTCCACTTTGCCCTCTAAAGGTAGGGGTTAGAAGCACCTAAATTGCCAACTGTTTCTTGTTGCAACAGATCTAGAACTCTTTGCAACATATTTATCACGAAGAACACACCAGTGGTTCCCTTCCTTTGTACGCTGCAAGATTGGAAGTCACCTTACCTTGATAACACTCCCAATGGCATTCTGTTGTATCAATATATCAGCCAGCTCAGCAGTGTTAACAGGAGCCTTTAGAAACAGCTAAAAAGAACAATTATAATTTTTTTTATTATTATTATGGACTGTTTTTTAAACCTGGGATCCTCCTCTCACCTCCCACGCATTCCCTTCAGGCACCTTTTGTGCACGTGTGAAAATATTGTTAAGATAGTGTTGAAGAGAAAGATGAAACTCTCTATTACAATCTAAGTTCTTACACCCTCTTCTTCACTAGTCTTGACTTATAGTTCCATTCAGTATATTTACTATTTTCCCCTCTATCCCAGAGTATAGGATTTAAGACTAATACTTCTAATCTTTCCTAATTCCCCTCAGCACCCACTACACTAATTTCTTCAAGTCACTTTACTTGTGGTTCTTAATATTTGCTACTCCTTCAATTTTACCCTGGTCTGCCAAAGTTTGAGAATGTTGGTGGTTCTTCTTTTGGTTAACTTAAAGAGAGGTTTGAATCAGTCATATTGGATACAGACAAGTATTCCTTTTTCTTTTCTTTTTTTTGACATGCAGTTGGTCAACCTTCTCTCCACCCTCAAAATCCAATGATACCTTACTGGGATAGATAACAGGAAACAACATTGCTTAAAGATTAAAATATACTATATAATGTTAAAAGTGCAGTTCCCTAGTTTATCTGGAAATATTTCACAGACCACAATTTGGGAACCACTGCATTTAGGCAAGTGCCTATTATTTATATGTCAGTTTCCTGAGACAAAATAAAGGTCTGTATCAATACTAATAGTGGTTACTGGCAACTCAGCAGAAAGCTTAAATTGGAATTTATTAATGGGAGATATTTATTTAGCGAATGCCAATTTACAAAGTCAAGCCATAACAATGGAGACATCAACAGAGTTAACAAAAAAGTCACAAAATTCTGAATGTACCTGCTGCAGTAATTTCTTTATACCATTACAGTCATTATCTGATATTGAATGTGCTTCAAATTCAATATTCACTTCCTGTGAAGAGCAAAAGACAATGAGCATCACACACGTCTGACAAGAAGAACTACAAAAACAAAGTTAAGCTATGTCATTAAGTAAAAAGGAATCAATTTCAGAAACTTCTTCTAGCACAAGGCTGTCCAACTGGCAGCCTGCAGGATACATAGGACCCCTAAAGGGTTAATACACAGCCCATAAGTTCCCATGGAGCTGGGAGGAGGCTGGAGTGTTTGAGCTGCACAGCAAAATTGGGCTGCTCCCACTGCAGGCAAGCATCTTAAAACAGCTGGAGCAGATACCGCATGTGGTTCGTGAACTGGCTCCCGCACACAGGGCTAATCTGGTTTGTGCCACATGTTGTGTGACAGTCAACTCTGGACCCAAGGGCAACACTGAAGGCTGGATAATAGGGCTCTGTGGGTCAGATCCAGCCAGTAGACCTGATGTTTGACACCCCTAAACTAAAGCATTTCAGTCCTCACGAGGCTAAGCCAGGGGTGCTCAACCTCTGGCCTGTGAACCAAATGCAGCCTGTGGAGCCATTGCATCTGGTCTGTGGGGCTCCCCACGGGCCAGGAAACTTGGTAGCAGGGGAGTGGTGGTGACTATTAATACAGCTACACTCCCCCCTGTCAAATTTCCAAACCCCAAGCCTCCTCCAGCCAGTAGGGGCCAGCCCAGGCCAGGCTCCAAACCCCCCCCCGTGTGGGGTCAGGCCACACGTCCCCTGCTTCTAAATCAGGGCTAGGCTATGCCCCCTACTCTACCTGGCCATGCTGCTTTTCCCCTCTCATGGGGCTAAGCCACATCCCCTTCCCTTTCTGCAGGGCCAGGTTGGAGCCTGGACATCCTTCCCCACCATGGCTGGACTACAGCCCCTTCCCTCTGTGGGCCCAGTTTGGACCTGCCCTCTCCACCTCCCATGGGGCTGGGCCAAGTCCCCTTCCCTCTTCACAGGGCTGCTTTAAGCTCTTTTCCTTTGCAGGGCTGCATTGGGACCAGTCTGGCCCCTGGCTCCCTCCATGCTGCCAGATGGCATCTACTGTGGCCACACAGGAGCCAGATTGGGAACACCACTTGGATCCTCCCATATATGTCACAGTACAGCCTACTGCATGTCTCTGCTCCAGTCATGGCCAGTCTCTGCTGCTCCAGAGAAAGACAGAAAGACACAGATTACATCTAGCTGATTGTGCATGAATTCTTTCTTGATTTCTGCAAATGACCAAGTGAAGCCACAGGTATTTAGTTACAGTCACTAGCTCACTGATGAGCTGCATTGTGAGCCTGTGAAAGTAACACGGTAATATTGTTCTTCCTATGGACCATGATGAACATGAGGACTTCAGACTGATAGATTAAACAGCCAGAAAGGATCATGACAGCTATTCATGAGCCCCCCACCCCACCTCCCAGGCATACCAAGAGCTAAAGAATTTCTCCCAGGAGCCATTTTAAAGCACGCCTGGCTTAATTTCAACTTCTAGCCTTTGGATTTTGTTATTCTTTTGACTAATATTCAACCTTGCTAACATTCTCAAATAGCTTTTCCATGTACACAAAGCTACACACAGAGAACAAGCTACTTCTCAAGCTTCTCTTCAACAAGCTAAGCATGTTGAGCTGCTTAGACCTCAAATTTAAGGATTGCTTTCCAAACCTTAAATCGCTTCTGTGGACCTTCTCCAAATGCTCATTAGCATCCCCATGTCCTTATTGTACACGGTCTGTGGAGCCACATTCTGTGAAGCCAGTACTGAACAGGGTATTCTAATAGTTAGAGGTACATTAGTCCATATGGTACCGGCACCAATAAAAGGACAATTGACATTATTAGCAATCAGCCTTTTTTGGCTGGTGTGGCTGATAATGTCGCTGATAAATCCCACAGGCATGCATGCAGCATGCATGTGGCCAGCCTGGCAGTTTGGAGAGCAGCATCCAACTGGTAAGTC